GCCATAATAATTGGGAAATGGCACTACTTAGTTGAGGATAGAATACTGAGGGAATTTCCCATTCCTAGAGTATTATAGTGAGATAGGAACTGTGATTCATAACAAGATGACTATCTGTTGAGTTGTACTCAGTTTCCCAGAATTATTTAGACTATAGACAAGAGACATTCTCAAAGTGCTAGCTAATTCCAGGCAAACTGCAGGTTATTATAAACCAGTGATGGCAAACCTTTTGGGCTTGGTGTGTCAAAAATTCAGAAAATGCCTAACTTGACTCTGCTGGCATGTCACCCACCCACCCCCTGCCCACCCTCGAACAAAAGAGTAACAATTATGTATTCATTTATTTTTAAAAAAATACAGTCCAATCATGTGTGGTGCTATGTATCATATAAAGAAATGTCAAATAATTACAAAAATGAAATCCAAATAAACAAACTCAGTTTCTTTGGTAACTCAAGCAGAGAGAACAGTTGTCAGGTGTTGGTGAACACTGGCACGTCTCCTAAAACGTTGTGGCCTTTGACACGTGTGTCATAGGTTCACCATCACTGTCATAGACTCATATTTTTCTTGAAGTTATACAAGAACCATTGAAAAAGGGTTTACAGCAGGTGGCAGCACTTAGCTGATTATGAAACGCAAATAGGGTCAGATGTAGCTACTATTTGATGGGAGATCACTAGAAAATACCAGGTATATAGGTTAAAGTGGCAGTTAAAATACACTGGAAGGCAATGGCATATGATTTCCATCCATGAACATACAGGGACAGCATCAAGGGAGTCTTTACCTTGGTTATAGCATGTGACAGCATTTACCTGACCCTGGCTGATCCTAAAAAGCTAAGCAGGGTTCAGGCTGATCAGCACTTGAATCACCAGGACATCCCAGGGCTGTAGATTATATGGGGAAGCAGAAAGAACATTCCAGTAAAAAGCAATAACAAACCAATCATCCTGTCTCCAAGACACTTAACAGGGACATGTTCATGAAGTTACTAGGTATTAGGCTTAGCTCAAGGGGAATATTATAATGAATAACCCAAAATGGTTAAGCAGAATCTAGGATAGCTTGGAGAGGTAACTTGGTGCTTAATATAAATTACTCAACACATAATTGATTGAGTAGTTCTAGGCCACTAAGAATTCCAAACCATTAATTTGGAAGTTTAATCCTTAACTCAGAGGGGGCAATTGTTACATAATCAGGCTCATCCTTTTCAATATCCCTGAGGAATCTGGCTCAAATTAACCATGAAAGAGACTAACTCCTTACAAAATGAATTTATTTATTTTTTTAAAAAAGCAGATTTCTTTGGTAAACTGCACTGAATTTATTGCTTCATTGCTATTTTAATGTAATGGGTTTGGGGTTGTTGTTTTTTTTTAAAAGCTTCTTTAAGAAATTCATTTCCCTGACAATCACGGACTGCCAGTTGGTTTTACTTATTAAGAGCAGGAAATGCAATAATTCTTGCCTTTGTATTTTAAACCTTTGTGGGAAGGAAAGAAATGTCACTGGAGTCTCTGGGTGGCAGCTTGCATGAAGCTACACAAAACACACACTGGATTAACGAGGGATTGTTGCGATTTCAAACAACAGGGAAAAGGAGGCTTTTGCGTTGTTGACTCAAGGTATTAGGAAGGTTTGTTTTTTCCAGCTTAGTATGATTTCCTTGAGCGGGTGTTAAGCAGCCACTCCCCAGCTCCTTTACAGACAGTTGGCTTCCTTCCTCTCTTTTCTTTCGCCTACCAAATAGGAAAAAACCAAAACAAAATGTAAAACCCACCCTTCAACCCTTAAATCTTTTTAAATATTGTTTTCATGGCAATTTTTAGAGAAAAGCCAGTGGAGGTCTGGAGTGCATTGAAATTGGTCTATTCATCTAATGCATTTACATACAGAAATGGGTTTTGAACAATCCAGGGAAGAAAGGGTGGGTGGATTGACTTAGTTAAGAGCTGGTATGCACACAACTCAGCAACAAACAAACAGCTGTAGTGGTAGTTATCCCTTCCACCAGCTGCTCTTCATCTGTAGTTTATTGGCAGGAGAAGCACCATCTGCTCTCTGAGCCCCACCAAGCAGAGCTGAGAGGTGCCAAAGACTAACAGCCTCAGTTCCTGATCCAAAGAGGCGAGGAAAGAATTCTTGTGCCAGACCACGGAAGGGGACCATTTAAATCAAGCAGGGTGGGCTTATAACAAGAAAGGCTGGCCAAGAGAAGCACAGAAACCATGGAAGTCGGTAAAAAACTGGTTGAGGACAAAATGCTCTGAAAGCTGATGAGATTCTGAGAAAGATGATCAAGAACAAGTGGTGTGAAACATACACTTCCTTTTCTGGTACAGCTTGAACAGAACAGCATTCTATGTCAGGAGGAATTGACTGAGTTAAATTATCATGAGTGTACTCAATGCTGGAGATGCACCTACAGCAGTGATGAAGGCTCAGAGGCAAGAACCTGAAGCCATGTGTGTAAAGATGCAACTCGTTGGGTCTTGACCAATGGTAGCTAAACCATTGCTTTAATCTATCAGGAAAAATAGAAAATAGAAACAAGCAGAAATCAGAAGGTCTTAATTATCATTTCTGGTATTTAGATTCCTGCCTTTCTGAACAAGCTCTTCCAATTGGAGAGAGAATGGGACAAAGTTTCAGATCAAAGCGCCTTCCCACTATTAGACAGTATTTTCTTGTTGCTGAAGTTACTAGAAGGAAATCTTAGCCATCTCCTTCTCCACTTCTTTTTCTCTAAACTACACGGTGCCTTGAAAAGAAAGGAAAAGCCAGCTCTGTCTCTTTTCTCCTAAAGCCCCACTTGGGCCACAACCATTGATATCACCCTCAATAGAAATAGCCACTGAATTATTATGAAAATTGGAGTACTTACCAATAGTGTCATATGTTGGTTTTTTTACAAGACAGGAATTTGTATTATCAGGGTTTGGTTTATGTGGAAACTGAGTGGCACAAACCTCTCCAGTAGAAAAGTATTACTGGAGCAATGTCACTAGGCAAAATGTCTTATCATTTGGTGGACACTCCAGATTTCATAATGCATTGAACAGAGCTAAATTAACCTGTTAAATCTCTGGAAAAATAACATTCCTGACTTCAATCATAGCAAGTGCAGGGTTTAGTGCCTGAAAAAAAAATGTGATGCATAAGTAAACAATATTTTGAGCTGGAGAACATTGCCACAAAATGTGACGTTATTTGCAACTATTAACAAAATGGCAGCCATAGTGGGTGTGATCAATCAAAAAACTTCCATTTAACTAGAAGGCAAATGGGTGAGGTTCCTGTCTTCTACTAATTTAGTTTTGTTCTTTGAGGGAAGCTGAACAAGTTTCCAAACAACATACTAAGCTGCATCCACCCATTTCAATTTTTAAAGAATACTTATTCTCGTAAATAAAGATGCTTTCAGTGGTTGACATTTGCTTTGTAGATTCCCCTTAATTTTTATTACAAATATCTTTGAAATAAAAGCAGGAGAGAGCAACAAGACTAGAGGGCATCAAAGGAAATTTCCACAGGTACCTTGGTACACACAAACCCTACCCTGCCTATTATCTGACGGAAAGTTCACAAGCCTAGGAGTACCTGCTACACTTATTTTCCCTTTTGATTATTTTAAACATGTGTCATGAGGAATTAATATTCCTTTCCAGTTATGCAGATAACTGCTTGGATTCACTTCTCATCAGTGGAAATGGACACACCCAACTCTGACTCATTTTTCTTACAAATCCATGATTGCTCTGTATTAACTTGCTCTCCTTGACTCCAATTGGATAGGATTAGGCCACTTCTAATTGATTTATCATGCACTTAATTGCTTTCATTTTCTTTTCCTCAGCCACACTGCAGAAAGCTAATTTCTGCAAGTATGCTGATATATACTCTCAACTTTTTAATTCCTGCAAATGCTGAACTTTTGTGTTTTTTCAGGACATTTTTTATCCTTTGCCAAGAAAACATGGCTTTGGGCACTTTTCAACACTCCCTTGGCTAAAGGTTGGAAAGTTGTTCTTAAAAAAGTAAATATTAAGAAAAGCAGAAACAGGTTTCCATTGGTGAGGCAACTGGGTTGTTTTCTTTCTGATCCATTTGTACTTGACAAGCTTGGTCAAAATATGGACCCATATCAGAATGTGAATTCTATGGGAAAGAATTCAACGTGAGTGAGGACATCTATATTTGGACTAGACTCTTTCTATATATTCAAGCATCTAAGTGAGCTAGAGCCACCCTGGAGTAAGAGTGACGACTCACAGCTTTGGCAATCCAGGTTAAGTAATCTAGTTAGTTCAGATTATTTTTTCCCATCAACTCAAGTATCACAGCAGATGGCCAAAGCTTGTGGGAGTTCAGAAAATCTGGAGGACACCAGGGCGCTTATTCCTGCCTGCAGCAAATCAAATCAAATCAATTTTTTATTCGGTCATAGACCAGCAAATGCCTGCAGCAACAGAAGTGTCAACAGAGTATTAAGACAGGAAGCGCTGAGCCTAAAGGAATAGATTTTCTTCCTATTTCAAAGGAACAGATGGGGAAAAAAATTACAATGAACAGGAATTAAAAGAAGTTGATTAATGTGGAAAGCACAGTGTCTGCTTTTTTGTGGCAAAAAAATTCAAATCCCTTAAGTAGAAAGCTTTCTAATGTAAATCAAGTCTTACAAAAATTAGATTCAATATTATTTTAGAATCCTAGATTCTGCCTAGTATTAACCCATGAACCATAGCGTTGGACTTCCTTGACGGCATGAAAATTAATATTTATAGAAAGATAGAGCAAATAACTTATTTAACACACACACCCTCTCTCTCTCCACAAACACACACACACAAAAACATATAGGCAACATTGTATTCCCATAAGGCAATAATACATGAGCCAGTTTTTGAAGTGCAAAAAAAAAAAAAAGCAACATCTTTCATGCCTGACACATTTCTAATAAGCTGTTCTTTATTAGATTGCTTGTAGATATTCCCAGTGTTCAAATTCTCCATAAAAGTCCCCCACTCCTTACTCATTTAATAGGACAATCAATATTTATTATTTTTAACTATGTAGCTATTTTCTTTTCAGTCAAGGCCAATGCATTTTGACTAATCCATTTTAGAAAAGTGACTAACAATTCAGCCATAAAAATACTCATGCATAGAAACAACCACAGCAGCAATTCCTTATGCAAAATTGCGAGGAAGAACCTGAAAGACACACATCAATGTGTTCTGCTTGAAAATTGAAAATGCAAATGGTAGTTCTTTATGTAAGACACGAAGGCTGAGTTTTGGTTGTATGATCTGGACAAAATAAAAGGCAATGATGAAAGAAAGATTTTCCAAGTATAGCTTTCGTCAGTAGGTTCTAAAATTAACTGTTTTTGCTGCAAGAAGTAAAACAGTATTTTAAGTTTGAATCAAATCAAAATAATTTATCAGTGAATGTGCAAAGAACAAATGGAAACATGAAAAAAAGAACCAAGATATATCTAAATTTATCTGTATGTTTGCAAGTTCAGCATCAATCAAGCTTCAAGAAGGCCATGAAATAGATCTTTCAGATAGATTTACTATATTACACAAATATAAAAGGCAGCAATTCATGAAAAATGTTATCAACTAGAGCACCTCAAGGGATATTTATTTTGCATGTCTTGGCATCTCTCCAAGTTAATTCAGAGACAAAAAAATTTAGTTGTGGATTCAAGAAAGAGATCCTTGAAACAAACAGGAAATACCTTTGAATACCATTTTTTTTTTCAAAATCACACACACAAAGTTTTTTATACAATAAACCATGTATTTCAAGACAGGATAAATATTAAATAATACATTTTAAATCTACTGAGATTAGAACTAAGTAATTCCACTACAGTATTAAAAGACAGAACAGAATAATTGGTTGGGAGTCTATAAAGATAGCCCACAGAATAGCTCTGAGTGACATACCAGGGTTTGTCTACAACTGCCTTTGTCTACTGTATTGTCAACTTGCTTGCTTAGAGATTTGTTTCTTGTTTCCTGCTCCTTACATTGTTCCTGTACTGGAGCACAACCTCTGCCTCTATTTGAACGGAAATATATTAGAGCAGAATTTTTCCTCAAGAATTTGGTATGAAGAGATTTATAACCTACCTCTCTAATCATATTATTATTTTCCAATCAACAAGCTTGGATTAGATATCTTTGTACTGTTCTCCAAGGCCCAAAAACCTGAAACAAAGCATACAATTATCCAAAACATTTTTTTTAACCAAAGTTAAAATGAGTTTTTTTTAAAAAAAAAGTCAGCAGGCCAACTGCTGCTTGTTGAGTCTATATTAGATTTAATCTAAAACTGAGTTGCTTACAGCATTTGTCTCTAGAAATCACAACTGTTCATCTGCAACACTGCAGGAAGCCAAGGCAGTTGAACAATAAAGTGTAGAGCGTATTTTGTGTGTTAAAATGCATCAGTATTGCTTTGTATATGAATTTAAGGTGAGATCTGGTTGAAGTAAATCCGTAGAATGATTCTGGGCCCTTTAACATAAGAATTGTTAGAAATGAAGTAAAAGTTGGCAGACACATAGCTTTGAAGCTATATATGCTCATTTTAGTATTTCAGATTCAAGACTGTAAAATGTATATTCCAGCCAAATTAACAAGTAAATATATGCTACAGAATCCATTATTATCCTGTTAATAATATCAGTATTATTTTGAATCGGTATTCAAAGCACTTCAGACATTATTTCAGAAATCATGCAACAACCCTATAAGGTAGCCTAGCATAATTATTTCCATATTGCAAATAATAAAACTGTATACTCTCTGCTTCCAAGTCCACTTGTACAAAATTATTAACTTTAATTTATCATTTATTTCCTTAACCACTACATTACATTTTTGATATTCTAATCCTGATATTTAGAAAAACGAGATTTTCTTTTTTCTTTTTCTTTCCTTTCCCTTCAAAAGTTTGACCACAGTCTTGTTCTTTCCAATTGCCCTCCTATGATGAGAGCTTGGCTTAACTGAAAGTGCACAATTTACACATTGCTATAAAGAACTCACAGAATTATCTAACAAGAAGAGGAGAGCAAGCTTTGGGAGCCTCTCTCTGTGTAGCCATTCACCATATTCCAATTGTTTGGTTTTAACTGTTTGCATGACCTCCTCAGTATTGATTGTCTCCTCACTGCACTATTCAGAGGGAAGCTACAACATTTTCAGAAGAATGACTTAAAAATTAGAATTCCTGCACCAAACTGCTGTAATTGATCTATCAGCTCTATCATAATTAGTAAACTTTAACTTCATGAAGCAAGCAGCACCTAAGAGGATGTTCAAGGTGTCAGGATATAAGCATTTATTTACCTCCAGTTTGTACAAAGGAATGTAAGAGAGATGATTAATGATCTACTCAATCTCAAAGACTTTGTGCACGAATATCCACAGAAAAATATAAAATTGCTTGATGCTTATCTAATATCAGCCAGACTTATTTAGTATCTTTACATACTTATTTATATATTGTATGAAAACATGCAGTTGAGGATCACAAATGCAACTGGACTTTGTTCATGCATACATAGTGGTGTTAGGATACAAGTTATTCCATATGATTAGTAAGAGACAATTAACTATAGCACACTGAAGTTTCTTAAGACAGCACCACAATTTAAGTGGTAGTTTATCATTAGTGTTAAAATGAGGTTTTCTGCAAATAACACACAGAAAATATACAATATGTCAGCATTTTAACACATGTTTGAGCTCTTTCAGTGTTTACTACCAGTATTATAAAGATGTAAATATGCAATCTACACTTTTAACATTCATTGCTGAACACAAGTGGTACAGTGGTTAAGATGCTGGCCTAGAAACCATGAGACTGTGAGTTCTAGTCCTCTCACAGGCAAGGAAGTCAGCCTGCGTGACTTTGGGCCAGTCATTCTCTCAGCCCTTCCCACCTTACAGAATTGCTATAAAAAACAGGAAAACTAAGAGCACAGGACTATACAGTATTTTTCTAAAAGAATAGTCGTACCAAGTTCAATGGAATTTATTCCCATGTAAGTTATTTAGTATTTCAGCCTATGTGCAGATAATGTTCATCTTAGTGAAAATTCATTTTGACAGATAACTTCTGATAGTTTCCTAAATTAAGAGTCCAACAAAACCAGATTTAAACATTTTTCAGTTTAACCAGCTCATTCTCACATACATTTGAAACATTTACTTTTCAGTTATATCTTCTTAGAAGAGAAATATTTTATTTAGCCTATTTCATAACCATTCTCCCTGCTCAAGGCACTTGAGGCAATGTGCAACTGAATCTTCTGTACTTATTATAAATATCTTATATAAAATATTTCTTTTTATTACTAAATACATTAGTGACAAATTGTTTAAAAAAATCTGTATTTTCATGCACCAATAACTGTTTGAAATACTATTTTTTTCATGCTACTAGAAGCTGACCAACAAATGCAGGATTTCGTTCTCTTATTAATACAGTGATAAGTGCAGCTGCTGAATCCATGGTCTCCTGAAGCTTTAGATTATCCTGAAAGAAAAGGAAAAGATATTCAAGAGTAGGTTACATTTCTAGAGGTTAAATATAAAAATTCTCAAAGAGCAATATTGGAAAGAAAGTCCCTAGTTCAGTACTTGAGATCTGCATTTTAAAAAGATCTTAGGCTGACATTACCTGTTGAAGTAGACAGTATTGCTCCAGAAGTTCAAATTCTGTTCACAACCTCATATCACTAGGTTTTTTCCAATTCTTCTAGACTAGATGTTCACATTTTCAGAGAACAAGCTTATATACAATAAATTATCAGACATATCAGAATAGGAAGTAAGCCTTAAATAGTTTGTTCTTGTTCCATGTTAATTATTTCACACTATTACCCACCCACTGCTGTTTCTGAAATTATTGCTGGCACCATATATCCATGCTTATGGATAACATGAAATATTATTACTTGTTACCAAAACTTGTAACAAGGAAGGAAGGTTCTAGTAATTACACTCTCGCTTCCTATGTTTGATAATTGGATGTTATTGAACTATTAATCAAGCTTAGCAACCTTTTAATTAAACCTTCCTGAACTATAATACTAGTTGTTATTATTTAAATGAATGATTTCTTGCATGTACACACCAAATAGCAAAATATTTATTATAACATACAAATGAAATTTGAAAAAAAGAATAGAATCTGGAACCTTACCAATATCATTGGTATAAATTCATATTACAAAGTTTGAATCTACAAAAATATCCATCCATCCATCCCTACCTACTTACCTACCTACATTCCTACCTTTATTAGAATACCTACACCTACTTTTTAAATAACAAATCTTGCAACTTCAGGTAAATTTAGATACACACATGTATTTATTACTAAGACTTCTATGTCATTTCAATCTCACAATAATAAGGAACTGACTGAAGAGGTTTTCACTCTCCCACAGAGGGTCAGTATCTCTTTATAGAAACAATTATACCGTATTAATTTATAATAGCTAACATGATAACCACACAGAGATTACCTACTCTATGCAATTTTTCCTGGTTCAGTGTTTGCTGGATTCTAATATTCAACATATAAATAATAACAAAGATTCTGAAGAAAAAGCCACAAGGTCCAAAGCCTATAACGATGTTGCCTAATGAATTATAACTAGCAATGTATCTACACATGCAGGACCCTGCAGAAGATACCTCCTTTCTCATGGCTATCAGTTTCACTGCTTGTAAAGATGGTCAACTAAGGAGATACTCTATTACTGATTTGGTAATAATTTGATGACAAAAAATATTTTAGTTATGTTATCATTTAAGGGGTTAACAGTTAAAATCCAGTATCTTAAACTGAGATCAGAAATACACAGGCAGCCAGTACAACCAGTGCAATATATGCAAAAGTGTGTGCACAATTGAGTGCCCCTAGGTTTATCCATGCAACACTGCTGCTGTGTGAGCTGCACTGGCCTCCAGTAGGCTTCTGGATGCAATTTAATGTGCTTGTTATCACCTTTAAATTCTTACATGGCACAGGACCAGGTTACTTGTGGAATTGCCTGTGTCCAGTCATTTCTGCCCATCCCACCAGATCCAACAGGGTAGACATGCTCTAGGTCCCTTCAGTGAAAGTGAGCCATTATGCAGGGCTCAAGATATATGCCTTTTCTGTCATGATGCCTACCCCATGGAACAGCCTCCCCCCTAAGATCCAGATGGCCAATCCTGTTGACCCTTCAGAAAGTCATTAAAATCTTGCTTTTCTCTCCAGTATTAGAGATGGGCTATTAGTGGAGCCAATATATGTGCTTTTAGGACTCTAAGTAGTATGTGAGATGCCTCAGATATTGTATTTATTATGTTTGCTTTTAATTGCATTTTTTCACTTTGTTTTATACTGTATTGGTTTTGTACTGTTAGCTGCCAGAGCTATTCGCTTAAGAAGGGTGATCATATATATTTTCTAAATAAATGAATAAATAAACCAACAAATAAACATGCTGGATTTCAAATCATGTTCAAAGGCAATCCTATGTAGAATGGATCACAGTAGTTCTGCTTAGATATCAGTACAGCATGAGTAACCAAGATAAAAACAGACCACTTCAAATAAACAACACACTTGGAAGTAGCAGGTTCAATGATAAAAGCACCCTTGGAAATGCTCAGTAGTACTACCACTTCTAAACAGGATGCCTTGTTTTCACTTTATCAGATTTGATCAAAGTAAAATGTAGTTTTATCATAGCAGTGTTGCTTCAGAAGTCTCTTGAAAATGTTAGAAAACTTCATACTTATTTAAACAGATCTTCTGGAAGAGATACAAATAAGGCTGCATTTAAATGGCTGCCTTTCACACTGTTAAAGATAGGCTGTAAATGATTTTGATGACTGGTAGGAGTTATAACTTAGAAGGCCTATGTGAAGTTAGAAATTTCCAGATTCCTGGAAAACAGGAATCATCAACTAACCATCCAAATTATTTACAGACAATTTCAGCACAAAAGGCAAGGAGGAGAGATTAAGAAAAAATGGTTTTTATACAAAATTATATTAGAGTTCTAGGTAACATCATAGAAGGAAGTTTTCCAAAATTATATACTGTTTCTCTTTTTCTGATTAATACATGCATCGATCATTTAGTATCACAATTTTTTTGAAAATTCAAGTAACAATCAGTCCTTCAGTCTACAAATTGTTGGGAAGGATGAAAGGTTTAGAGGACAGATCACATAAGAAACAGGATGAAGCTGGTTTATTTATGTATTTAACAGATTTATACAGCTGCCCATGTTAACCAATACAATAACAACATTAAAACACACACACACGAGTAGACAAAATGAATTAAAATAAAACCTAATTGACCCCCTTTAACAGTTATCTCCCAACATAAACATACACTGGGTTCCACTAACATCCCAGCCCCAATACCTCAGAGAAGAACCAAGTCTTCAAGGCCTTCTAGAAGGCCAACAAGGTCAAGAGCATCCAAATCTTAAGGAAGAGGTTATTCCATAGGGCTGGTGCCATGATAGAGAAGGTATACTTCCTGGGTCTCATCAAGTGACATTGCTTCACAGAGGGGACCCAGAACACGCCCACCCTGCCAGATCTGGTGGGATAAGCATGCCATGCAGGGCTTTAAAGCACCTTGAATCACACCTGGAAACCTACCGGGAGCCATCACAGCTCATAAAGCAGTGGTATTAAATAGGTGTACTATGGTGCACCCAAAACTGCCTGTGCCACCACATTTTGACCAGCTGAAGCTTCTGAATGTTCTTCAAGGGCAGCCTCATGTACAGCATGTTGCAATAATCCAACTAGGAAGTGGCTAATGTGTGAGTGCCAGAGAGCAATGCCTAGGAATGGGTACAATTGGCACACAAGGTAGATTTCTGCAAAGGCCCTCCTGCCATGGCTGTCACCTGCTGCCCAAGCAGGACCTGAGGATGGCAGGTTCCCCAAATTGTGTACCAACTTTACCTTGGGAATGTTAACCCATCCAGAGTTAACATTGAAAATCTCCAGATGTGAGAGGCCCCAAACCCCACAGCCACACAATCATTCAAGCCTGTTCTTCCCCATCCAGACCCATACAGCCTCCAGGCACTGGGAAATAAGCTCAAAAGCAACATTTGGGCAGCCAGGGCAAAGGTATATAGTTGAGTGTCATCAGCATACTTCACTCAGCAGTTTCATGTAGATGTTAAATAGGAGCAGGGAGAGTGTCAAACCTGCACCATCCCACAAAGCAATGGTATAGAGCCAGACCTCCCCCCGTCCTGCAACATTGACTGGAACTAGCCTTGGAAAAATGAGAACCACTGAAGAACCATGCCCCCACTTCAAACCCCTTCAACTGGCCAGAAAGATGCTGTGATTGATGGTATCAAAAATCATTGAGAAATAAATCACTAAGAAAGGAAGACCAGGATGGATACATTACCCCCATCCTGAGATTGCCATCCACAAGCACAATCAGTGTCATCTCAGTACTATAAACCAGCTTGAAGCCTAACAGGAACTAGATAATCCACTTCCTCCAGGCCCTTTGGAACAAATCAATCACCTTCTCAACAGTGTTCTCCCAAAGGAGAGGTTGGAGCTTGGTCAAAACCATCCAGTACTGCTGGTTCCAGTGGTGGCTTCTTGAAGAAGTGCTAAATCAGTGTAACCTTTAAAATAGGCAGAAATGTTCCTTCCCACAATTGCAATTTAATCCAAATAAAAATACAATGTACTAATAAAATTTAAAATATTTAGAAAAAGCTAAAAGGGAGCAATGACTGTGTCTTATATCTATAGACAACTGGACACACAGAAATACTATTAAATACTGGAAGGTAATTTTGTTAACTAGAAGGAAACTAGCAGGAAAGACTAACCCAAAACAGTTAGCAAAAGAGGAAGTTATAAAGAAATTTGCCTGCTTGGACATGTTCAGAAAATGATTTCAACGGTACAATATCTGTTTGAGATGTTTTATGTATCTGATACCTCTACCATATAGCACAAGGATCAATAAATTAATCTGCTAGATATGTATTCTCTGTGATTCATTAATGTTTCACAGCATGAAACAGACTCTTACTCATCCAAGGCTATACTTCTCATTCTGAAGATATTTAACTCTTTAACACTATTTAGAACACATCCAATCTCAGAATTTAAGTCATTTCAGTTAAACTTACAGGCCTTATCACTGTACCAAAAGGCTTCATCTAAGAAAGGAATTCAGTGGCTTGAGGCAGCAAAGCTTGGCTATCAAAGAGAGATTTCAACATGAAACAAGAAAACTGCAACTCTTCTGGAGGTTTAACTCTACCTCATATAACTTAGACAGAAAAGACTTTTTAAAAATCACCCTGCATCTTACACCAACACAAACATGTCCATATTATCACTGAATTTTTTTTATGAACAGTGAATGATAAAAAAGAAATTATGGCTATCCATAATTTCCCTCTGACTTCATTGTTTGTAATGGCCAAACACATGCTTTGTATATGTTTTGTGATCTTCACTAGT